TTAAATTTCCTATACCGCTATCACATATTAAACAGGCACGTGCATCGTCTTCTAATGTTCCCCACATATCGTTATGCATTTCTTTTAGAGCCATTCCCTTTAGCACCAGTTACTTGATAGCGGCTCTTTTCCCTACATTTGTTATTTTCTCCTATTTTCTTTCACTGACGTCAAAGCTGATCTAAAAATACGTGAAGTAATTGTGTGTGGGCTTACATTAAATCGTATACTCATCAGCCAAACATTTTAAATACGAACAACTTATATCAGTCCACACACTTTTTGAACGTCTCTCTTATAAAAAGAGCAGTATTCTTTGTGTGGACCGCAGGCGTGTTTGGGAATTGCCACATGCGGCACTTGTTGGGAAATATATGAACATTTTACGTGCCCTCTGCTCGAATGCCTCACGTCGCGTAAGGGTCTGTGGCAACATATCAAGTGTTTTTCTAACAACTGTGACGTTCACCAGGTTCATCCCCTTTCCCCTCACTCTTCAACTTCACCTTCGATTCCATCATGTGGTATTCGCTTGCGGAATCTCACCATGCAGGCCTTGTGCTGCTTGGTGAAAATCTAGTTTATCTCGATACTTCGTGCGACATATCCTTGCTGTTTTTGCCAATCCTCGGGTAATCCAATCAACTTTTTGTAAACTTTCTAGAGCGCATGTTAGTCTGTGTCCGTTTCGGGGACCAGGTCCACTTGACTCACCTTCTACTTGGGTTGAAACATGGTGCGCAACCGACGCCAGCTGTATGTTTTCTGCGATCACCCAGCAAGACTGTCTCTTTAGAGGTCTTGCAGTGCTGATTTATCTCTAGATCGAATTTGGATATTGTATTCTACGATTTGGCTACCATACTGCCGCTACCTCATCTACGTCCCATCGACCACCACTTCGGGCCCATGAATTGTTGGCAATGTAGACCACTTAACATGTGTTTATCGGGTGTTTCCTTTCGTTTTTTTTCACTTGAACTCTGGTTTCTTGGTCACATCTCCTATCATGTTAGTACGAGCTACTGTTACACTGCCGTTGATTAGGTGATTACACGTGTATCGCGTAACAGTTGAGACCTATGTGCAAATTAACCATGTGTAAGGGTGTTTGGTATACTTCACAGATGACCGGTCGCAGTCAACTCCCACTCAGACAGCTTCTTACATATTCGGAAAAGCGTCAAACGACCGTTGGGTCCTAGCGGAGCTCGTCAGTAGCGCGTACCTCCTAACCCCACTAGGAGCCGGACCTATGATTATTCAATACCAGCAACTTATGCCGCTAGGCCATATGTGACAGCGGCACACTGCCATAAGTTATCGTTAACTGCGTATATCGGGGCTAATCCTCCACTGCCATGCAAGCATATACCTTGCGGATTACAAGGTTTAGTTTTGGCGTCCCTACTTTCTTCATAGCAGCTATGTGTGACACAGCGTTGTTAACGCGGATGATTCGAAGTTTACCATGATCAACCGCCGTATATGTCGAGCTGCTCTCTGAGATTCAGAACGAAATCTGGACAGTAATCAACCATATGGTCATTTATGCCGTATATTATTTTAAAATGCACTTTCTGTGTGGCTACTCTTCTCTCGGGCTATTTCCCGTTGCCGCTTTTCATGTCGTCTACCGTGTTCATTAACCCCCGTCATCGTTACACGTTATCTAAAGGGGAGAAACATCTCAGCTATTGTGCCGCAACACAAGGATGTTTCCAAAAAGCGAGATACCATACACTAAATAAACCCAGGGTTGAACGCTGCGTTGTAAACTTGGGCTTGATTTATGCTAACTGCGTCAGTAGTTCTGCCATGTCCATTTGGCCCGAGCAGTTCTGGTCTGCTCGCGTGGGCGACACGTGATTCACTTTCTGTCCACTCACCTGTCTTCGGTTCCGCTCCTCCAGTCGGACGGCCGCCATTGCACACCCATGAGCGTCAGCTCTGCTCGTTAGCGCCTGCGTGTGCTGTTCACTCACTGTAATCCGAGCCAACCCTTCATCCGTCCTAGGCCAAATTGACTCTATCATACGCGCCTGACCTACGGGATTGTGGTCAGCTTGAGTGAGCGATAATCCGCTGGTCTGTACACATTGACCCCTCATCGGTTTCATACACCTGATCTACCATCGCGTCCCTTTTTCGTTGTTATGTGCTCCTATCTTTTTCTACTGCGGTGACAAATGGATAGTCCAGCTGATATTACGGATCTTCACGTTGCGGGGTTCATTCGCATGGTGATCTTCCTAGCTGCACTTGATTCCGACGAATTTTGTTATTCACCTACACCTTACGACCTTCTGTCACTCCACTCCTACAGCGCCCATCAGTTCCTGCTATTGGTGGTACCCATACTTTGTCTCTCAAAGCCAGAGACTATAGGTGTCTCGATCAGTGGTCATAATATTTCTTTTGGCGTAGCATACTATTTCTATGATGGTATTGTAGAACAGCGGTCGTCGTTATCTCAGGTTGCAGTAGAACTTTAATGCTGGTAGCCGTCATTGTTCTGCTATTCAACGGACGCTGAACGGAACTTCATCCGATCTCGGTAGGTGTGTCTGTTCCTCCTCACCAAATGATCTAAGGCTCCCGATGCATCTGTTTGGCTTTAGTAATCAATTTCTGTCATTGTCTCAGCCTTTCCATCTGATTTTCCGTGACGTGGATTGATGAGCCGATAGAGACAACCTCATTTCTCGCTGCACTCGCTGAATTCAACAGTCCGCTATCGGAGATCACCTCTTCCGGTATCATATACCCAGCTAACTGATATTGTAACTTGTCCACGACTCACGCATTCCAAGATGGCTTTCTACCAAAATCTCTCCGGTATTTCACCAAGCACCATCGGTTCTTCCATCCGGCGTGGCTTTGTTAAGTTTTCTGTTGCGTAACCTGACTGTATTCCTGGCCTGAACATCAGTTTCTGCGCTGACCACCGAATGTAGGAGGTGGATGAGCTCCAGCTGAACAACTATTCGGTTTCCGTTATATAGTATTCCTTCCTGTGCAGTGTATTCATCGCGAAAAAGAACAAGACCAGTTTCTTGGATAACTGTTTATCATCGTACCATTCGTTCCTTATTGTTTACTTTAGTAATCTACATGGATCATCTGCACAGCAAATGCCGCAGTTGCTGCAGACGTTTCTTACTAACAGCAGTCATTTGTATTACTTGGACTAGATCCGATTCTTCTTGTCTTCCGGTTGCATCGGGAAGGTGTACCATTCGTTTCGTGTCAACAATGAGGGTTTTGGATCCTGGTTGTTAGACGCTATCCAGTTTGACTTCCGGATGCAGATGTACATCCGCTGTAAACGACGTGGTTCGTTTTGGTTTAAGACTGTGGTTTGCCGCAGTATGCACAGTTGTTGACGAGTTCTATGAGGTAAACCAGTGCCAGCATCTTTTTTTAATTCCGGCGTATGGTCACTCGATCTTCCTCAGTATTTGGCAGCGAAAACCGGTATGTTTCACGCTCTGCATGAGGATGGCTTCGACACCTTACTGAGTAGTCACCCTATCTCGAGTGGAGGTGATGAATCAAGATACAGCATGATAGGCATATCTGTGCTCAACTCCTTCGTTTTTTAGTGCTCACTCTTGTTCTGCTCCCCAGTTGTAAATTTTCCCTTTGTGAGTCAGCTTCCGTATTAGTAACATCAGATTAGCGAATCTGGGTATAAATGTACCCAAATACTCAATCATCCGATTCAGTCCGCTAGCAACTCTCAACTTAGCGTGAAAAGGCATTGCATTTGCGGTTCTAGTTTTCTCTGTCCGAGCTCAGCACGGGTCTGCGTCATGCCACTTCCACTCTGCGTCATTCCACCTCTGCTTCCGTTTGATGTTTCATTCAGTGCAGCATTTCAGGACTGTTGAAATTACCGTCGTACTCCCCTCGATTAGCGTCTGGGGGATCAACGCATCATCTGCCACTCAAAACGCTTTGAGTAAATCAGCATTTGTTTGCATAATTCCCTCCTGTAGCATCTCACTTAATGCCTCCGAGTCAAAGGTCGAGTGTAGCCCTTGAAAATGTCCAAAATGTTTTCCGACTGGTTTGATAGCTCGACTCATCTCCAAGTGGCATGTGCCAGAAGATTGAGGCGACATGGACCTTCGTGTGCATCTTGGACTCGGACGACACGTAAAGCAATTGGTCTAATTGCGATGTGTAATACTCTCTTCAGGGCACGGCATTAAACGGTTTCGAGTCGATGCACACACACAATTCACCGGATTTACTAGTAACCATCACCGCTCGGTTCATCCGATCTGTGGGCTCGTCAACCCTGAATATGACGTCTAAACCGGACGAGCTTCTAAAAGGTCTTCCCACAAGGCAACTGGCACTTTCCTGGCAAGCATTTTTACTGGTTTAGCGGATTCTTTCAATTTTATCCACAGATACGCCAGATTAAAATTCGACAATTTTTGCACTAATGTGACGTGAATGAAAAGCATGATCATACTTAAAGGATGCAGAACCGAGTTATTTGATGGAATCAACGCCCAGGAAAGACTTAAGGTCTGTTGACACATCACATTTCGTTATTTTTCCCAGTAAACTTGCCGACAATATTTGCCACAGACCATCCCTGGAGAGAATCTTGGTTCTGTACTTCTCTCCTTTGGTACGTTGTATTATTGAATCCCTTAAGCGGTTAGTGTCGGTGTGATGTTGAATACGACCCCGCCGTTTACGGGCGTTAAGACCTTTGTCCTACTGGATATGTTGTATGCCCTGCTCCCTTATCACTCTAGGATTATAGTATTGATTACATTCACCCCACGTCGGCTTCTCACTGATTTCATGCATATATCTCTCAGCTGAAAACATCCGGTAGAGGGCTGAGTTTGACTTGATATCATAATAAACCCGTACCCATGGATTCACCAAATTGCCTTAAAACGTATAAACAACGTGTTGCTAACACAAACTCTTTCGTCTCCAAGTGATTGTCAACTGTCACTTTCACGTCTCAGACCGACCGGTTTGGTATATGATCCACGCATGACACTGCACAAGCATGAGTGGTCTGCAAACGAGCAAGAAACGCCTGCCCGGATACAACACGCTTTCAAACGTTGCCAGGAGGAAGGACTTGTCATACGCTGCATGTTGATCCCGGTAAGCTACGTTCCCAATGTTTTCCAGCCTCCATGACTGCACACAGTGAAGTCACTGCGGTGTAACTGTGTAGTTGTACTGCCAAAACGTTGTCAACTGGCATACGCATCATGATTAGGCTCAACTGCTTGCTTTTTTCTCCATTGTAATCCAATGGTACTTTTCGGTTGTTTACGTGAACTGACTGCAGAACTGTTCAATGTGCTTTCTGGATGAATTTCATCCTAACACATCGTCACCAATGACAAATTATCCCCCCATCTTTTGAGTCTCAATGTATGGTCGCCTTGGTTACCGGCATACCACAATGCAAGTAAACTGCACGACTCGGAATTTCTTCATTCTCGCTAATCTGACGACACCTTAGACCACTTCTGGGCATATATTATTTGTTTTACCATTAAATGACCATCCGCGATGTACTGTTTCACGCGCCTAACTTGCAACCTCTACACTCCCAGCTGGAATCGCCGTCCCCACCCGCTTTTGGCTCCTGACAGTGCTGCAGCTTGCGAATGGTCGCTTGTTGTGGTTCATTGACACTGAGGCGTTAGTACGAAGTTCTTGTGCACGGTTGTTGTCTAAGAACTATTCGCACAAACCTCACGCTTTGTCAGGTCCTGGGCAGTTGGTTAGCTGTTGCTTAAGTTTACTACCTCTCTTGGAGCTCTAACGTCTATTCCCCTGCAATTTGTGTCTAATCGGTGTGGTACACAAACTCTTCATAGAAGACTGTGTTGCATTAGTAATAATGGAAAACTCCCAGACCTGCTTCAATGATTGGTACCTTCCTATTTTTGTTGTCATTAGTGCTTTTCTTTAATTCCGCTGCTCTGAATCAGTAGGCACCGATATTTTTATCGGTTGCCTAAACTACTGATGCATTAGTGTGCGCAATTCTTGGATCCCTCCAAACCTGTGTAGAACAAGCTCTATCTGTTGAAATGAGCGCAACTGGCCCCTTGCTTATCTTGCACCATTTTTGCGCCGAATGAACCAGAATAATGGAATGTCGAACACAACCTCCGCTATTCAATTTATTTCCATTCAGGCACGACATATTTCGGAAGAAGCGCTTTCCCTCGTTCACTCTCGTGCATACATTCAGTCGGTCAAGCGAACGCAAAATTTCTCCTTACCGGATTTGTACAAATTTTCCGGACAGTTCGATGGAGTGTTTGTGAACTCGGTGAGTCTTGTATTTACATTCTTTACGCACAATTCCAACCGGTCCGGGTGTTTTTTCATCCATAACCAGGAATCAACTAGCGAGGTGGAATTCACACTTCGGCCTTCTACCGTTAGTACCTTTTGATGACGAATGTATGCTTTTCTTATTATTTCCAGCAGCCTCTGAATAGTGAATTCGGGTTATATTATCATACATGACGATATTATTCACTTTTCTGCTCCACCTTAACCGACATTGGAAACGGAGGTTATTTTTCAATTTATTTCTGAATTCTGATCCACGAACCATGAATTCACTGTTCTGGTATTTTTGGTACTCTATGCTGTGTGTGTGTACTCGTTTCAATTGCGTCCGCATCCTAGACGAAGCTGGAGATAATTGACGACTTCTCCAACCTCAGTAATTGTAGTACCAGTGGATGCCATGAAGCTGCTCAAAATCGTCTGTATATCACGTAAGTTTGAATTACCTTTACTAATCTACATCATTCGCCTTGAAATGGCACTTCCTTTGATCTTAGCTCTCGAATATGTATGTACACAAGATTGGTTTAGCTACTCACCCGTATTAAGAACCGTCATCCTTGTTTTGTGGAGACTGCGAGTTACTTGGGAGCGTTGATTATCCCCGCCCACTAGACATTACTGATTTCCAGCCCCGTAAACTTATCTGATGTGAGGAGATGTCCAGGTGAGTACCAGGTAGTGATACTTTAACTCGCGAAATCAGCAAACAAGTTGCAACGACCCCAGCACGTTTTGCTTATGCCTTTTCGTCGCTTAGCGCGGTTCAAGTGGCAGCCGAAGCGAGGTCACTGAACACAAGGTTAAGTGTTGTTGGTTCGTTTGGCCTTACACTTCTTTATCCCACTCTATGCTTGGTTTACGACTTTGAATGCAATCGGCACCACGTCAACGTCTGTTTGTTGAATTCCCATTTTGTATATGTGATGCTGAAACCTCCATGGGGTACGGCTGGTTATGATGCGGAGCATTGAGGGCCAGATCGAAGTCATTTCGCTTATATCACCTCCCTCCCCCCTAAAAGCCGGTCCTCCGTTCTTCTAGTGTACTCGCAAAACGTATGCTTCCTGATCCTGAACCTTTACATGTTTTCGTCTGGGTCCCAAATTTGATCCTCTTTGGTTCTTTTCACTAATTAAGATCTAGCACAGAGGTGCGCTGGATTCACTTGCCAAAACACTAATAAACCTCAAAGGAACTAGCGAGGGATAAAATCGCCAAATGTAGTGGTTGGAGACCAAAACTAAACGTACGGACGATGATTAGTCCTGCCTATGTAAACGTCACTGCAACTGCAGGTGAATTGATTAACCACATGAAAGGACCGGTTTTGGCAGATATTTTTCTCGGCTTGATTAAAAGGCAAGTCGCTGCCAATATTAGGGAAGCAAGCTATGTGGATGACATTCTGCTATTTACCAACAGGGAACATTTTACTCTCCTGTTAACCACTGTAAATTCAATTCACCCCAACTTATCCGTCTCCCACGAGATGGAACAACACGGCTGCCTGACATTTTTGGATATCCTCATTAAGAGACAGGGCGGGGGTACATTGCAGCGAACCGTTTACCGCAAGGCAATTTGGAGTGTGCAGTACCTTCACTTTTCCAGTTTTGCCCCAGTTGCATATAAACGCGGCCTAATGAAAACGCTGTTCTACAGGTTCAGACGACTTTATAATCCAGAAACGATGGAAGCTGAACAGAAGTGTCTGCATAGGACCTTGGTGTCGAATGCTTATCCCAAAAAGTTCATCCAAGTGCACAGCAGACTCCCCGAAAAGAAACTGCCGATGCTAACGGCAGAAAAAAGCAGTTTCTCTGTTCCTGCCTTTCAAGCGAGACCATGTGGAAAATGACATCGGACACAAGCTCAGGTCCGCCCTATCGCGCATGCATATGACTGCCCAGTTGCGCCTCATGCACACTACTCGGAAACTTGTTCTTCATGACCGTCAGAGCTACTCTTCGGCTAGTTCGGCTTCATGTGGTAAACGAACGAACATAAATATATCACTGATTTTGTGAATATATCTTATCCGATAAAGTGTCTAATCACTAAGTTGGCCGATCCCGATGTTTCCGTCATAGGAATGACAAGCACCTATCCCGACTCAACCTCTTGCTCTCACCAACTCGGGGTTTTATCCAACTCAGCGAGGTATTTGAAAACAACACACATCGATGCAGCCGGCTCACTAGGGTGCGGAGTGAATGACCGAGTCACTGAATGTGGTTTGAGTTCAACTGTCACTACAGCGATGCACCAAAGGACCTATTGACAAGTACTAAATGAGGAACTGCTGCGTTACGCATTCGGTTATTCTACCATTAATGAGCAACACTGCACCTATCGGTAATTAACAGAGGTCAATCTCCTAATGTTCTTAGTGCCTATCGGCCACGTGCCTGTTTCATGCAGTGGCACTGCTCTCATCACAGCGTTGTAAGGTAATAGGCCACTACAACGAATTACTGATCTGTTGTTTTGTTGTTTGAATGTTTTGTACCATAAATTTAAGTGTCCATACAGCTCTTCGTTTCATCCCTCCCTGGATTATTAATATTTACTCTTGGTATAGCACACACTGATCGAAATCCTCTTTGTATCACCCCATTTCTCGGTGACGTTTTGATCTACCCTTGCCGTGCTCCATAATGTCAACTTTCGCCGATCGAAACATTTCGTGACTATGCTTTTTTCTTCCCACATTTGTTTAATTGGTGGCTTTTTTAACACTACATGATAAACTATTTGTAAGCCAATTCTGAATGGGTGTGGTCTGTACCTTTGATAATGTGTACTGATACGCGGATTTCATTTAGATCATCTTGTTATTATCAAGTTGAACTTACTTCCGGATTGGTTCTATTTTGTCTTTGGCTTAACTTCCCTTTCCACGTCAAGGAGATTAAGGCGCACCGAAAGGTAAACGGAGCCATAATTTACGACCAATGACTGTTAAGTCTGTACAACGTATTGCGGTGTACGGTTCGTTGGTTCCCCCTCAGTCTCCTTTAATTCTACCTGATGACCCGCCCCAACAGTCTGCAACTACATTTTGTTTTCTTCACTTTACCTTTTCAAATTTCTTGTTGTGGGACATCGAGTCAAGACGACTGTATATACAGCACCTCAGTGCTCAGACTATGCCGAACCCTATCTTTATTGTGACCCTTTTTGATATCTTTCAATTGATTATCCTCTTTCTCCCTTCCTGACCATACTGTCTCAATTTTCGTCTCTAGCACACTTGGTCCTCCGCTTCGTTGGCTGCAGGCAGTTTGCAACATCTCGCTAAACTTGTAGTCCAAGGCAAGCTGTCGAACGGTTTCGCCTTTTTACGTCCGCCAGGACATCATGCCATGTACTCAGAGGCATGTGGCTACTGTCTGTTCAACAACGTGGCTGTGGTCGCATCTTCATTTCTCTATCCTCCACCAACTGTGCTACAAGCATGTGTTGAAACCAAGAAATCCGTCACAAGCAAACGGTATGGCAAGAGACGCACTGACTTAGATCAGCATGAACTAACCCACACACGTTCTCAAGGATCAGAATCGCGCCAGATATGCAGGAAATCTTCTCTCGTTCAACTTCAACGGATCCTCATAGTGGATTGGGATGTGCATCACGGTCAAGGGACTCAATATGCGTTCTACAATGACAACCGGTATGTGTCCTCGTTCCCAACGAATCGCAATTTGCTTTAACTCGGTGACCTTTAGCGTTTCTGTCTCCATTAAATGCCACTTCCTTGTACTGATCCAGCTTCATTTCTGCATCTTTCAGTGTATTATTCATATCTATACACCGATATGAAAATAGCACCTTCTGGCCTAATCTGCGCGAGGCGAATTTCGACTTTATCGGTGAGGGATCCGGACGGGGTTACAATATAAATATCCCCCTGGAGGAGGTAAATCCACCGTGTCTTCACAACCTGGCATACCTCTCACGTCTGCTCCATACCGTGTCTACACGCTCACCTGTCAGTTGATTTACCACATTAAGTTCATCCGTCAACTACAGTCTATGTGACTGGAGCCAGCGCAGTTTTATCACCGGTGTCATGCAATCCTGATTTAACGAGCGCAATTGCCGTGCTTGACTGCGACATGCCAACCTTTTGCCCTAATCCTTTATATCTTAGAGTCAGCTCTATTACACCACACACACGCACACTATACATGTAAGCTAGAGGTGGGAAACACCTCAGCTGCTGTGCCGCAATACCTAAAAGAAAATGGGGAATAAGATGCAACAGGTGCAAACCATCTGAGCTACCGGTAATGGATAGGCATCGTTCCGTTAAGTTATCTACCGGGTACGATGCAGCAGAAAAAAAGTAATTTCCTATGCAAAGTTATAAAGTGCTAAATAAGGAGATCGTGCTTGGAGGGGAAGGCTAAGAGGGATAGGGTGAGACAAAGAAACTCACAGCACGAACGCCACTGAGGTCGGCTCCTAGCCATATCAACAACTGTATCCAGCCAAACGTGTTCATCGTCTTTCGGACCCCAACCAGGGAGCCGAGACGCTCCAACTGAGGCCAGCTTCAAAGTGAGAGCCTTCATTCCTCTCGACCAAGTCATCGCTTGACCACCCCTCCTCTTCTTCCATCCACACCCCCGGCGCGCAAACAACGCACGTCGCGGGAGTCGGTGGGCTGGCATACGTAACACGTGGCCCAGCCATCGGAGCCTGGTGCGTGAAATAACAGTGCTGAGCGGTTCATTTTCTTTTCCTGTGCCGTAAACAAGGCGTCGAACACGTTCGTTGCTCACGCGGTGTTCCCACTAGATGTGAGCTAAATTGCGAAGGCACCGGTGGTCGAACGTAACTAGCCTCTTCAGGTCCGCTGCTCTAAGGGGCCAGGTTTCGCAGTCCTACAGTAAGGTCGAACGTACCGTTGCATTGTACAGTCTACCCTTCAGGGCGAGAATAATGTCGCGCAGCCGCCATAGGTGGCGAAGACTAGCAAAGGCACCTCGAGCTCTTGCTATACGGTTCGTGATCTCATCCTCAATCCCAAAGGCACTGATACAACTTCTCAGGTAGTTGAATTTCCGAACGACTTCTATCTGATCCCCACCAAGGGTCAGTGAAGGAAGCGGTCCAGGCCAATCTTGAAGAAAAGCTTTGCACTTCGAGGGTGCGAAGCAAAGCCCGAAGCGGCTGACAGCCAGTGCTAATCTGTCCAGCGCGACTTGGCACGTTTGGGTGCCGTCACAGATGAGGGCAATGTCGTCTGCATACTCTACGTCAAGAAGTCGTTCTCCTGGGGGCAGATCCACACCTAAGTCGTGTCCTCTGAACACGGTTTCCATGACTTCGTCAATAGCGAAGTTGAAAAGGAAAGGTGATAGCGGGCATCCTTGTCTCACACCGCTGGAGATATTGAAGAGCAGCGACAGCTTGCCATATGCCCTCACTCTGCCTGAGCTACGCGCATATAATGCTCGGATAATATTTACATATTTCTCAGGTACACCTTTCCTGAATAAACAGTCCCATCAGTTAACTGTAATTCCAGAAACCTTTTGTATACTGGTACTTCATGTCGGCATTCAAAATGCATGGTCCTCGTCGAATACTCTGTGTCTCATCGTAAGTTGCCTTATTGAGCTATGCGATATCTGTACAACTAGGGCCCAGATTTACGCTACTTCACTATGCACAGTGTACAGAACACCCTAAGTTACATTTGGATGCTGTTTTGCTCAGGTTTCATATCTTGTTCCTTATTTTATCTCTGGCTTTCGCATTATTGGCCATCTCTTATCTCTTTTCCCTATCTCCAGACCGGATTGACAGACTCTGACTATTTAACCATATTCCACCAATTGGTAATGCCTATCGCAACCGAGGTTAGTAACAGGGTATTCTATCACTCTAGTGGTTTATGTCAGTTTTCATTGTAGAACTTTCATTCAGCAAGCGTCTTAATCCATGCCATTTCGCAGTTTTTCTTTTTGATGTAATCGTGGTTCGCGTGTAACCTTATCTAACCATAAATTGCCACTCTTTACTTCACGTGTTTTACTATCCTTTATTCTGTCCACTTCACCAATCATCGTTTTCCTCGTGAAGGCAGTTTGCGCGAACCATTTCTTGCTTGATGCTACTTCGGCTTGGACAGCCGGATAGTATCACGCTCACTGACAATACCATGGACGTTCCTCTGATACACCACACTGAACCTCTTTCGTTTCCGCTACTCACGCGACACCAGTTCATTTTTTACCATCCGCTGTTATCCTTTACCGGCCGATTCCTGTTTCCATGATTCTACTCCCGATGCTTTTGTCGACGAACACAAAGCTCACCCAGCCGCCCTCCTCCGTCCTCTATCCTCGTTCCATCGGGCGTGCTTCAATATACGCACACTCATGCAGATCGGGCGGCGAACTGTTATCTCGCCATCGATTTTACCTGTCTTTCTGAAACCCAATTGCAAGATCCCAGTACTTGTGATTGATTTGAGATCTCCCACCGACTACGGAACTATGTTTCACCTACCTCTTACTGGTGACACAGAAGCAGTTGCAGCAGGCTTGGCTGGCGTTGGTGTAGCCCTAATCAGCAAAACCAAGACCGCACTGCTGCACTGGTTCCCGATTAGCGGTCCACTATGTGCTCTTCGGTCTCGGGGATCATGCAGGCTCAACAGACATCGTTAGGAGAAATGCAACTGGTTTGTGATCTCGAAGTACGCTCCAAATGATTGCAGTTGTGACCCGTTCAATGACTATTTTTATACTGGATTTCACCAGCTCGTGAGAAGAGCTTGTAAATCCGATATAGTTGTCCCTACTGGTTCTCAACTCACGGGTTGGTCGTCTATTACCATGTGAAAGTCACCTCGGTGGTTATCATGCACTCGATGAGAGTCACTCAGACAGTAGCGAGACTCTTCGCACTGTGTGTAAAACGTTTGTTTCTCTCCAACACCACCTATAGACATTTGAAGAGACGTTCTGCGACTTGATATCCCTTGCTGTGACTCATTCATGATCTCAGACTGATTATATCTCAATCAGTTTCAGATGGCATCTTAGCGTAAATGATTGCAGATCAATCGGCTCCGCATTTCTTGACTCAGACCATGCTCATGTTTGCGCGAACTTCTGCATCAGTTTTAGATGGTCCCCGAAGACGAATCTCTATAAGATGAACACAAATAAACTATCTTTTCTTTCGTCCATGTGCCCAGCTGCAACCCACCATAAGATATGGATGAACACTGGACGTTCATGCATTACACCATGCTCTCTACCGGACACTCATTCTATGGTCTTACTCAACACCCTTTGAAAGACTGGATCTCCACACGCTCCCTAGATCTATGTGACAGCCGCAGAAATATCCCATCTGAGTCTAATCCTAATGAAGTGCACCGTCCTGTCAATCAGCAGCCCAAACAAAGCTTGCGCAGTGATCGCGAAGTCTGCTTGTCTCAGCGTGCTTCGGAAATGGACGCCGCTACCCTCTCTAGCAATTCTCTCAAGATCTTACAGCTCATTCCGTCCACTGAGCATAGGAAGCCTGGTGTCAGTGAGGCTATTTGCGAAAAGAATGGTTTTACCGATCGCTAACCTGCGGAGATGCTTGGATCGATAGACCGAACATATACATTCCTAGTCCAATTGGCTCTCACTAACCACTTGTATGCCCTGCGAACCCTGCTGCCCACGCCGGGTCATCACACCTGATCCACCCAGGGAATCGGATATTTAACTTGCGATTCGACACTTGAAACGATTCAAGGCTGTCGGAGCGGTTATCATCATCCAGCTAACCTCATCGTTCTGCAAAATCTGGCACGAAAAGGAGGTGCCTTGCTCCTGGTGCAAATTAGTTGTTGTACCGGTTTTTAAGACGGGTGCCCGCACTTCATGCACTAATAATCACGAGATTAGTCTAATTTTCGTTATCTCCAATCTACTGAAATCCACTCTACTTCCTAGACTATCCCGGATCCGAGAATCGCAATACCGGGAAGTACCATTTGGCTTCCATCCTGACCGCAGGCCTGTGGATCAAACCTTCACGCTTCGCCAAATATTCGAACACCGCCACCTCTACCAGTGGTCTACCATCAATGCATTCCTAGGCATCCGTGCTGAATTCGTCTCTGTTGATCGATTTGCGCTATAGCATTGCTTGCTAAGAAACGGGGTCTCAGTTAAGTACACTACCATCTTACGCGCACTCTACCTCCTCGTCTCCGGCAGAGCGAGGGTCCATGGCAAGCTTTCTTCGTCCTTTGCTGTCAATAGCGATGTGCGACAAGGCTGCCATGTGACCCCGTTTCAATGTTGCGATTAAAGACGTTCCGTCATTATCTCCGGAGGGTTATCAACATTTTGCACTGCAACTACTACCCGTGAAGCAAGCAACCAACTTAGAATATGCCGATGGCATCGCCCTACTTGGGGATGACCCGCAGAGTATGCAAACCATTCTAAATTGTTTGGTGCTTGAGGCATCAAGGTACGGAATGTGCTTCTCCCCGTCGAAGTATGAAGTGTTGCCCCAGGACTGGCACTCGCCCGTTCCCATGCTCACTCTTGAAGATGCACAGCTTGAACACATGGATAGCTTTGTCTGAATGGGCAGCTGCATGTAGCACTATTGAGAAAGGAGTTTCCCTCCTCATCGCCAAAGCTGTCGGCGTTTGTCAGCCTGAAACATTTGTGGCGTCGTCGTTATGTTTCCCTCTTTGTAAAGGATTGTGTCTACAATGTCACCGTTCGGCCTGTGTTGCTCTATGGAAGCAAGTTGTGGTCAGTTCGCGTGAATGACACGCATCGATTCTAGGCCTTCGCTAATAGGTGTATGAGGAGAGTCGCTCTTATGTCGTGACAAAAACGTACCTAAAACGGTGAAATCGGACATCGTAACTTAGAGAATGCGAGTATTCCCTTCAACAAACTGGTTTTGCTGCGTCTGTTAGGATCCCTTGGCTACGTTTTGCGTATGCCAGCTGAGCGTTGGCCTCATTGCGCTCTTTTCGCTCGTGCAGGGCTCGGCTCGAAGAGACCACGTGGTGTTCAGCCGTCCACCTGGCGACAGCATATGAAATCCTTGACCTCACCTCTTGCTACTGTTGGATCCACACGACCGTGTGGTTGGAAACCAAAAGACGAAAGTTGCCAGTGGCTGGAAACAATCCGGGATATCGCGCACAATCGTAACCGGTGGAAGATCAGTCTACATACCTAACCATTGAAAAAGACGGAAAAACGGTGTGCAAAATAGCAAGAAATGTTCCGCTTTTTTCTTGCGGCACAATAGCCGTAGTGTGTTGCTCAGCTTCAGCTGGTGTGTCAAGATAATGCTTTGGCAATTATACCTGTCGTCTACCGTTGATTCCATGCTTTTGTTTGGCTCTATGTTTATTCGTTGGACTTCTGCTATTGTTTGTTTCCGGACACTTTGTACACCTTTTGAAAGTGCTCGCCAATTTTAAACGATATATATATATATATATATATATATATATATATATATGGTTGGCGGCATCCGGTTTCGGATTTGCCTGTCACTGTAGCCAGCCACAAAACATATGCGCCTACAGAAGGACCATGGGTAGCTTGCGCTGCACCACCCACAGCTCCAACCACACACCCCATATCCAGTGTAAACCCGAAGGAATGAGACCAGGAGGCATGTGGAAGGGAACCCCTTTTCATCAACGGAACCGGCCCACACTCCTTTACAGGCACACACAAGCACGCTGTGTTTGGAGAATCAAGCGTACACAAGGCGGTGGTTGGACCGTAGTCCGCTCCACACTGAATGCATGGAACGACTCTTCGAGCTAAGCACGACCATAAGGACCGTGCACCCCGTCCCCTCCAGCAACGACCAAGTGTCTCCTGGAGCCAGTCTGGACGAGGTAATGGGTAATAGACAGGTAAGCACCTTGTCAACATGCACATCAAGCGCAGCCACACTGGTGTTTTCAAGCAACAACCAATCACTTGAAACGGCATGATGGAATAAAATAAATCCAATGATGCATAGAGATGCGTTGACATAACTCTTCGCTAACTTAGCATATGAAGTAAGTTGGTTAGGAACGCATCCGTGATAAGTGAAAAATGTCCACATTTTACTTAAAAATGCCAAAAATGCAACAGTCACCGAAGATAAGCGCAATTAGCGTACGCAACATGGCCAGTTAATAGAAGATTATTCAGGTAGGCACAACAAACCAAATAAGCTGGAATGAATTTTATGCAGCTTAAAAAGACCTAGTTTAAGTGTAAGTTAGTTTAGCCCTACTGCGGTGAAGACGAATCATAAATGCGACATCAGCCTCAGTATGGGGCACAAACGATATATATATATATATAGTATATATGATATATATATTATATATATATTATATACTATATATATATATATATATATATATATATATTTAACTGGCGACTGGAAGTAAACTGTTTCAAGGTGGCTATCTCAACGAAAGAGCTGGGAGCGATTTTGCTTCGACAGCAGCAACAATTCGAGGCTTCACGACCGCGTATGATCGAGATTTTTCACTCGAACACTGTCACTTCAGTATACAGCAATCTCTTCGGAGCAAACGCGGACGTTCCCTTAGGTCCAGCAGTCCATGTCTGCTGAATCACGGCGGCTATGGACAGAGTTGCTGACACAGAAGTTGAACATTCAAGCAGTATGGGAACTGGAACCATAACTCACCTCAGAGTACGTTGCAGGTGAATTTTACAAGCAGCTCAACTGGAGATTAGACACCAAAAAGGTTGAAAATTAACATGCCAGATGTGAACTCCTGATCCGCCACACAGCTAATGGAGGCCACAATGTGAATCAAAACGTGCCGAAGCATAAGCCCCCCACTGCGATTATTGCCGCATTCCGCAGGGATCAAAGCCCACCAAGATGTCCTTTGTCGCTAGACAGAGAAATTGCCTGCGAACCGAAATGCAAGGGTCTGCAACTTTGTGCTACTATTTAGATACACAAACCAGCAGCCCCCAAACAGTGGCCATTGGGCACCTACAATAGAGGTATACAGCAGTTTTTCGGAATGGCCTTGTAACACAAATGGTTGACCAGGAGCTTTATTGGTTAGGGAGCACAGTTCTCCACCCGGTGAACCCCTCACTTTTGGACCCAGGAGGGACGTTATGTGCTTTGACCAGGGGCCACAAAAAGGAACGAATTTGCAGCGACGATGATGTACTGGTCGGGCGTGGACGCACATCAAGAGAATGCGCCTGGACCCATGACGGAAGTCGCGCGTCATTTTGCGCGAGGGAGGTGTTACGGAGAGTCAGCGTTCAGGCCGAGAGTAGTGGTGCAACAGTGGATCGAGCTACAATTAGAGATTGAACTCGAGTACAGATCAAAATGCGAATCTATGTGGAATCAACGACAAGTTGGACCATGAACTCGAACCGTTTGATTTGTGTTCATTAATATTAATTAGCACCTCCAATTTTGTTGTGTAAGTGGTTTGCTACAACCTATTTATTGCGCCATGCTCTCATACAATAGAATCAGAATCCGAATCCCTCGGTCCGGCTGATCTTGGCGTTCTCATTTCGTGGCGGGTTGAACTGGTTGGGGGCGGCACAGCAGATTCAGGCAGGTTATCCGTACATTCAGCGGGACCACGACAGACCGTGACAACGGCACTCGACCTTAATGTGGTTGCGACTGCTTAGGGTAGTACTTCGACCCATTATTCTGTACTGAGTGGTGCCCTCAGGCTCCTTAAGAGCTACTCCTACTATGTTGGTCAATGGTTACAGGTGAGACGAACTCAGTCTCCTGGTCCTCCAGTTTGGCTGTAGGAGATGAGATGGCGTCTGTTTCTGTAAGCCCGAATCGTTGTCACCTCCCCGCTGCCTTGCGGACAGGCTTTTGAGCCAAAGGCTTTGGTTCTCCTGTCTATGTCCGGGCGCCCTGGCAGTATCTCAACCCACCTACAACCATGACTATTTCCTCAAACTTCGACCACATCCTGTATCGGTCATCGCGCAACTTATTAAGGGTTGCCTTATCTGCTGCATACAGAAAAGCGTATAAGTGAAATGATGCTACTACTGGCTCTTCTTTCTTTTTCACTTGTTTCTTTTATCCCCCCCCCCCGATTCACAGTACTAACTTTCCTTATACAGTATTGGCCAAATTATTAATTTTTCATATTTCATCGCATGTCCCGTAAGAATCAAATGATGTAACTGTAAAATGGTTATATTTACCAAGAGTAACATATATCGAATAGAAAATCATCAAGGTTTGTAATTCGTAAATGATATTTTGACAATTTTCAAGGAGTTAACACATAAAAGCATAGTATGTGAGATTATTTGTAAATGATGACAAATTGTTTGATGTGACGTGTACAGTAGTTATGTAAACCGACGGTTACATTTTTATCATACTTTGTTATTTACAGCTGTAATCATTTCGGGATTACATTTGTCTAGTTTTGGATCAATTTATATGTATGTTTAATTACTTTTATTGTTATTTTCCAAAGTGTCTTCTCAAGTACCGACACAACCGTATTTTTCGCCAGTTTTTAGTTGGTGTTGGCATATTAATGGTTGAATTACGTGACCTAACCCCTCGAAAGCGTGCATAAATTGAAATATTGTTGAAAGAAGGTGTTAAAGGAGCAGAAATTGCAACCAAGATTGTTGTCAGCCCAGCGTCTGTATGTCGACTTCGAAAGAAATTGCAAAAAAATTTACCGCTGCCCCCTAAACCTTCCGGTAAATGTGGTCGCAGAAGAGAAACAACAGCTCGAGACGACTCACTTCTACTAAGGGAATGTTCAAAGAATCGCAAATCATCTGGCAGACAGCTACAAGGGATGTTGGAACAGCATGGTGTTGCAGTTACTTCGAGAACTGTAAGAAGACGACGTTTGGATTCTGAACTTCGAGTTTGCAGGCCTCTGAAGAAGCAAAAGTTGACCAAACAAATGAAAGAAAAACCACAGGAATGGGCCAAACATTTTCAGAAATGGTCCAAAGAAGACTGGGAGCATGTAAGGAGCGGGTTTGATTTTCTTAAGCCATTTCCGGAAAAATTGTGTCTACATTACTTTTGCTGTGTTTTCTGTGTTTTTCTATGTTTCATTTTATTTGGTTTTCAGCGATGAGTGCATCATCCGGTGCTCTGACCAGCAATCTCTATATGTCCGCCGATTCTCTGGCGAACAGATAAGCGAAGACTGCATCATTCAACGAGGCAAACATCCCACTCAGGTCATGATATGGAGCTCTATGAGCATCTACGGAACTGGTCGGCTCTCCATCGTCCATTGTAACATGAACCAGTAGCAGTACAACGAACTACTGGAGCACCAACTGATCCCTCAGCTGTGTAAATGGTCAAAGGAAAAAGGATTTACAGGGACAGGACACTTTATTTTCATGCATGACAATGCTTCATGTCACAAGCGGCATGAAGTCATCCGTTTTCTTGTGGGTTGTGGTATAGAGTAGTTACCATGGCCTGGTAAATAGCTCTGACATGAGCCCAATAGGGAATTTATGGGCAATTCTAAAGTCAGAGATGAAGAAAAAAATTATTACAAACAAGCAACTGCTCATTGGACAAATTGTAGCGACCTGAGCTCGCAGTGAAAGCATGGCTGAGCTTTAGAAAAACTCATTCACTCCATGCTTTTGCGTGCTAACTCCTTGAAAATTGCCATAGGATCATTTACGAACTACTAAAATTGATAATTTTCCATTCGATATATGTTATTTTGGTAAATATAACCATCTTACAGTTATACCATTCGATTCTTACGAGATGTGATGAAATATGAAAAAATTTGCTGATTGAAAAAATGTTTCTCATAATTTGACCAATACTATATAACTCTGCCTAATTGACAGTAGCCACAATGCCACTTGAGTTCTACAATCTGCAGGTATCTTTCCGCACCACTCACTAAACGCAAGCCACCACCGTCCTCTTGTAGTGCCGCCCGTCGGACATCAACTGAGCTTGATTCACGAAGTAGTACTAGACGCTATTTGCTTGTGTTTTCTGCTTATGCCCCCCCCCCGACTGCAGCTCTGGTGCTGCCAAGGGCCTCTTCTACCACGAGCTGACCACGCTGCTACGCAGTATTACTAGCTCAGGTATCATAGTTCTTGCAGGGGATATAAATGCGCAACTAAGTCATCTGAACTCTTCAGAGGCTCAGCTAGATGGTAAATACGGGCTTAACTCCGAACAGACGGGCAGCGCCAGACGCCTGTTGCAACTGTGTGCGGAGCACCGGCTGTTTCTTAGTTGCACCGCTTTTAGAAATAGTGGATGCCGAAGTTCCACTTGGCGTCCAGCGATGGACACGGAATCAAAGACGGTTGATCGGCATGCATCGCGCGATCTGGTCACGAAGGCAGTTGCGGAAGCGAAAAGCGCCGAAGCGATCGCCGTCGAGTGCATGGTGTTGTAGCACATGCGGCCGCGAGTGCCTGAGTCAGGCAGGCCTGATTAGGTATGAGCGAGGCTACTCAGGACCAACATCGAAACAACGACGGGTCCTGCTGAGAATGTAAGCACAACGGGTGCAGCGTTGGTAGGTACGTTGCATTCGATTTACTAACCACGTGCTTGCGTGCTGAGTTTCTTTATTTCAGGTGAGGGGTTTGCTGTTGTGTCTCAATGCACATCTTTTTTACCTGATTTTAACGTTTACCTGAACTTGAACACGTTGCTTAAGCTAATTGTGGTTAAGTTCGCTAACATTTTCGATTTTGTAGCATTTTTTTAAAAATTTTACTTACTGACATCTTGCACTTATCAGGAATTTGTTGGTAACCGGTTTATTACACTTGCCCATTTAGCGTAGATTTGCGTCGGCATTTCCGCTTGCTTTATTCGAGATATATATTATTTTTTATTCTCATTTCTAGTGATTGGTTGTTGCTTGAGACCCCCCTATGTGGTTGCGCTTTGTGTGTATGTTGACAAGGTGATTACATCTCCACTACCTCGTCCGTACTGGCTCTAGGAGACAGTTGGTCGTTGCTGGAGGGGACGGGGTGCACGGTCCTCATGACCGTGCTTGGCTCGAAGAGTGGTTCCAAGCACACGGTTTGTGTGTGGAGCGGACTACGATTCAGCCACCGCCTTGTGTGCGCTTGATACCCGAAATACAGCGTGCTTATGTTTGCCTGTGAAGGAGTGTGGGCCGGTTCCTTTGATGAAAAGTTGCTCCCATCCGCATGTCTCCCGGTCTTATTCCTTCGGGTTTACACCGGATATTGGTGTGTGGTTGAAGCTGTGGGTGGTGCAGCGCAATCCACCCATGGTCCCTATATATATATATATATATATATATATATATATATATATATATATCGATCTTATGCTTGAGGCAACTTGACTGTCGTTTGCGTACTCAAGGACACGATTTCGCCCCTCATTCTTTTGATCCAGTCTGTTTCTATATTTATCTATCATAAGCGTGTTCTGTACTTTCGTTGAGCATGTTTCATGCCGTACAGGTTTGAGATGCTGCACACGGTATTTGGCTTACTTTGCGTTTTCCATCTTTTAGTCTCCACTTCAATCTCAGTTAACGTTTTGGAGTTTTCCTCCTTGTCTTGTTACAGGTTCGCATTTTCCTCCGTCCTTTAGCCGTCTCCCATCACAGTGCCAATATTTTTCGTTCTATTTTTCCCACTCAATTTTATTAACCGAATTTTCTGCTGTATGTTTCCACACAGTTTGATCCTCAACTGGTCATCATTTCGTGCGGATTTGATGCAGCCATCGGGTGTCCTGAGGTGAGTATTTATCACGCTATTCCAAACGCATGTGTTTAAGCCCATTGATCGGGTGACCTTTCATTTACCTATTTCACTTTGGTCTCAGGTCGATTTCTTGACTGTATTGCTAACTTATAAGGAGAAGTCTCACATTATCAGCTCCCATGGGATCGTTGCCATTGATTGAAGCCGCTTCTTTAAGCACGAAGGCCACCGGCGGTAACCGTTTGATGGAATAGTGCTCGTCATGACACGCGAAATCGTCAGTTATGGTGTTGGTTTGTTCAGCATGCTTGGATGAAAGAGTACTCGATTACTTCTCATGTCCTTCGTCATCTTTTGACTGTGCACTTCATAGGTCCTCAGTTCATACTTCGTTTTTCTATTTCTGCAAATGCAGTAATCTGACACGATATTCTTTTTCTTTGTTCCCGAGTCTTTAGCTTACTGCCCACACACTATCATTCACATAGGTACCGTATAACCTTTCTCTTTAGCTCCATCCACTCGATGAACCAGCCAAAACGCGAGTGACGCGAACTTTCTATCCTTTGCCCACATCCTGTTTGTTCGCTATGGTTATTACTCTTCTTTCGCCCGTACCTTTGTTATCATCTTATTGTGCCACCTGTTTGCCTCTCTTTATTCCCTCGCTCAGGGCCGGATGTGGCTTACTCCCGCCGTGTTCGGACACCTCGTACACCATTTGAAAATGCTAGCCAACGGGAAACTAGTTGTTACTTTGGAGGTATCTGTCGCATTTCTCATTCTTTCACTCTCCTCACAATTCATTGATGCGAATGCATCGGCTACTTCACACAAATATTATTCCTCTTCTCAGGGAGGATATTACATCGATAGTATGGCGGAAAGCACGGTTCACGTGATCAAGGCGCTTCTTGGAGATCCCCTCACTCCTGTTCGACTGACTCGTCCTGTTTGCAAAAGGTTTGTCTTTTTCTCGCTAACTTATCAACTTTAGCCCCAAACACCTGAAGAGAAACCAGACACTAAATTTCACGATATCATGGTGAAAAATCCGCATATTAACGAAAGGTGAAGTAAAACAAATTTTGTCGGTATCAACCACAGGATATATAAATGGAAGCTTTCTTTGGTTTCCGATCCTCAGTTATCTGCAATCTCCGTCAGTCTCCTCATTGACCCAGTGTTGTTAGGTCTGTATGGTCTGAACCTCCACTTGGGCCCCCCTATCCCACTCTCTACCTTAACCCTGGCGACCAGGAAACACATCGTCAGCATGACACACTTTTCCCTTTTTTCAAACATTTGTCCTGTCGTTTCTTGACCACTTGCTCAAATAAACAGGACCTTGTCAAACAGCGTCAGCCATGCGATAAACCTAGTTTATCCATTGTAAGCGGTACAAGCAGGATGGATCTCCTTCCCTTAGGTCATTTGTAATACCTCCCCCAGGTGTGCGTCTGTTTGTGTCCGAAATATGTGCTTCTTCAGCTCTGTGGCCGCCTCTCATGTCACTCTCCTTGTTGATGTACTTTAAAAGGCATCTCCTGATGCCTTCTCAAGTGTTTACTCGTTTTGTTGTGTACAAACGAGTTGCATTTTCATTTGATGTCCAAATTTCAATTAAGTCTTTCATTTCCTGTTTTGGGATCGCTCCGAACCGACCACAGGTTCGTGCATCCCTTCAAAAGCATTCGCAATAGACATTTGAATAGGTAAAACTCTCGCTCGCTTTATTCTAGACGTATTTCTACTGCTCCATAGTAACCAACAATTTTACCAGCGTACACCATTTCACTTAGCCCGCACTGCTGGTGTACATTCATTAGTCACTTTATTGATGACAGCTCTCCTTATTCGGCTGTCTAAATGAATTCACTACCAGTTACCAGTCCTTAACTCCACTTCTCAGTTTAGCATTTCTAATAAATGTTTTACCAGCTGCCGTATTCATTTTGAGCCCTGCATTCTGTCTTTTGCGTGAGCATCTCACAAGGCCACAAGCGCCTATAGAGCCAACCATCACCCGAATGCCATGCGACTCTTCTACCTGAAATCGGGTGACCTGCAGTATGACAGATCAGTGTTGACCATCTCGATTTATACTTTTTTCAACCAGGATCAATATCACCTATTCGTATACGTATCTATCCTTTGTATCTCCGTGTCTTCAACTGCTTCATCATGGAGCAAAACATTTTTGTTTAGTCCATACACCAGACAAGATAGCTGTGGACTGCTTACTTGTGCAAACTCGAATGTTGCCTTGTCGTCGGTCGGAACTTCTCCTGCAAGGCGCTGTGAATTTGGCAAAGTGCATCGCCTCTAGATCCTTCTTAACTATGGTTGATTTTTTTATACGTCGAATTGGCTTTCTATGAACACGCTTTCTCACATGTTGTATAGCCATTTTCTGTGCATCAATTTCAAGAATTGCAAACGCTGGTACCAAAGTTCACTTATCTCTGCGGAATCGTTCACAGATAAAGTGAACTTTGGTCTCATCTCCACAGGACACTTATTCACATTTACGCGCCTCTCAGATAACGAATATTCTTCATTATTGCCTAACCACTTTGTCCTAATTGTACACTGCACTCCGGGGATGAAACAAGATCCCTAGCGCTGTGCCCATCTACACGTACTGGTTCGATGCTTCCAGATAGCACGAGATTTCAAGTCGTCAGTCAAGTCAGGGAAGGACTTTATGTACCCAGGATGGGTGGATATTCAGCTGTAACACACGCCTTTAGCGATGTAGTATGGCATAAATGCAATTCAGAAGTGGGGATTAATACACATAAAACACAATACCATCATAACGTAAACGGTTTGGTGCAAACATTGCACTATATAATGGATAACTGATGAACGATAAACTCCTTTTCTGGTATAAATGGACTTCTACTGTCTGGTTGACGAGGTCGACACACATGCTGATACTACACGACGAAGGGCGTGACTTGTGAAAATAACTACTTTTGGCGCTAACCTCTTGCAAGAACTGACATTAGCTCACATTAGTACATCAACAAAAGTCACTCTGGACACCGTCACATTAGTGTTTCAACGACCGGGAGATTACTCTAAAACGCTTACCCAGTAGATCAGCAAAATCACTGGTGAGCAGTACGTCCAGTGTGGAAGAACACAGATAGTGATAAAACGAAGCATCGAATCATGGCGGACAGAGGGAGCTCGCAGCAATGAGGCGTAGTACCTTAATCTGTTGACTTTTGTGAACGTTTCGTTCACGCAATGTGACCAAGACAGCTCACAGTTAAGCGTGACACCCAGGTGCTTCACTATTTGGAGGATTTCAAGCCCTCGAACATCGATGCAGAGTTCCGGGCACGGCTTGAGAAACTGTTGATACTCATCTCCTCTTTGTAGTGAAAAGGCGACATATTTGCACATAGACACTAAATGGCAATTCGCGGGCTTTAGGCCAAGACGTGAGACCGTTAAGATTATCTTGTAATCTTACTGTAAAAGCCGTAGTCGATTGTTTGGTGCTCAGGACAGTGTCATCTGCGTACTTCAATATGGCCGCCCCCTTTGGGATTTGTTTGAGCTGATATTAGTGGAAAATAGAGGTAATGACATAATTGCTCCCTGAAGGTCATTGGCATTTGCAATAGGAGCGGACAGCTGCTTCCAAGTCGAGTGACCTGAGTACGATCGGCAAAATAATCCTCCAATAAAATAATGACAGGGGAATTTATTCCAACACTGAGTACCTCTTTCAACAGTAATTCATGGTTTATGCACCTGAACGCTTTGCTGAGGACCAGAATTTAATTATATTGTTCAGCGCCGACAGAATCGAATGCATATGGCAGACTACTGTTTCTTGCGCTGACCTCGAACTGTGGTAGGTAAATGGTAGACTCATTGGACTGGTTTCATAGCAGCATCTTCCCGAGAATTATTCTTTCGAACACCTTTAGGGCTCCCGAATTACAAGCAATTGGTCGATATTTGCTTGATCCTTTCTTTGACATTGGGGTAACATTGGCACTTCTCCAACGGTCAGCAATGTTGTATTGTTTTATGCACAATGTCTATGAATCAGCTGAGTGTTTGGCCAAGTCGGCACATTCCTTGAGAACCACGTGAGACAGTCTCTCTGGACCGCTTAGTTTCCCTATGTGTTGCTAATGCAACAGCTTGTGTCCAATGTCGACAGGGGGGCAGTGAGTTTGCAGACAATTTAGACTGCACTATACCATTTTCCATTGAAGTTGGACATTCGGGCAAAACATTTACGCCTGGGGGTCAACGGGGTAGCTCCTCCGGGGCAATCAAGTTGAGTCTTCGCTATGCGGAATAGAACCACTCACTGGCATGGTAGGGGCTGTTTCATTGGCCAAGCGCCTGAGGTCCTATTTGCTGAAGGCGCTTGACCAATGAAACAGGCCCTACCATGCCAGTGAGTGGTTTTATTGCGCATAGCGAAGACTCAACTTGATTGCCCCGGAGGAGCCACCCCGTTGACCCCCAGGCGTAAATGTTTTGCCCAAATGTCCAACTTCAATGGAAAATGGTATAGAGATGAGTTCAAGGTCGGACTGTTGTGGCCATCACAGTATACATGATTCCGTTTTTCCAGAGTCGCACTCAATCTGGTGTGGCCGTTTACGATGTTCTGTAGCTCAAGGCTAGAGAGAAAAGTGTTGTCAAATCTGTTAACATCACCAGCGGAAATACAGCGAACAATCGTTATGTTCTATTGCAGCCGCATTAAAACTCCTCGTAAAATGCCTCTGCTTCGGGATACGGACAGATGGGGAAATATAGATGGTAGCTAGGAGGATTAAGTAGTACCTATTGATACACCTTGACTTGCACCACAAAACAATGCAGCTACTATGTTTCAAAGCAAAGCAGATTTCAGTTTTCATTAGTACGCACCAGGAAAGGTTGGTGTAAATGATGGTTCTGCCACCACGGTTTTGGTAGCCGCAAGAGTGGACGACCCGATGACATTTAAACCCTTCTACCGATAAAGTGAGTCATCCACCTTCTCATGAACCTAGGTCTCTTGAAGCAAAATGATGCACAACTGCGAATATTTCTGGAAGTTTATGACACCCTTTAACTCATACATTGTCCCCAAAAGCGAACGGATGTTTGAGTTGAGATGGGGATGCTCACGCTCCCCAATTTTCCTTCTGGGAGCAAGTTTCCACGCAACGCAGTGTTTTCTTGCACAACTATTGCGTTTCTTGTAATTTTTCAGTTTATTCTAACCTAGCCATTGAAAAAAGGCAAAACTTGTGAGCTTGGAAACACATGTAACGATTTCAACATATCGTGCGTATAGATCAACATACGTCGGCCGGTGGCCAAATGGTCTCCACGTCTGGTTTTCAATCATAGGGTCGCCGGTTGTAATCCGCGTAGGAGCGGGCGTCCTCGTGGTACACTGAGCCCACGCGCGACTGGTGGTGCTCGCGCAGCAGGGAAGCGCCGTTGCGGAGTAGAGCTGCTACATTAATTATTTTATTAGCATCTACATAAGGATAAAACAAATGGAAGCACGATTGTTTCAATGAGATCAAAAGCATATGTTTTAATAATGCCACATAAAGGAAGCGTTGAGCACGGCCAAATTTGAAGGCGTCGCACCGTCATCAATTCCTATCGGATTCAACTCAAGTCCATATAAGCTTTATGTACCCAAAAGGTTGCATGTTCAGCATATACATAATCAACGGTAAATTTACTAATGGGTTACCGTTAAAAATGTAAACTTTACAATGGGTAGAAAATTGCGGATTCTCTGTCATTGATCGATCGGGCAACGATTACAAAAAGGTGGACTAAAGCTTCGGGATTTGTATCCATCCAAAACAGAAAAGGTTTCATAAAAATGTTTCTTCAACTTTCGTTTTAATCGACATAGAATTTTGTGTTCAAAGATAATAGATTGCAGATCGTGCGCGGTATCTCGCGTGAAGGTTCAAAGTTGAATGGAGTAAAGAGCCCCAGTGACTCATACAATACTGACATAAACCCAGTAGATAATGTAAACATGATGTTCGGCGAAAATGGCAATGGCCGATTTAAATACCCCGGCAAGCTTATGCACACGATTCTTCACTTGAAAGTGGAGTCGTCGCTAAATCATTTTGTCTTTAACATGTCACTTGCTACCCTCGGGTGAGTGTCTTTAAAGTTTAAATACGTTTGCTGAAGGTTGGATCTTTTCCCTACGTCGTAACACTGCCCTCCGCGACCTGTTTCCTACTCATTTGCGCCCACCAGGTAGTGGCAGTACGACCGCGACCCGAACCCGGGATATCGGTCGAAATCTCCGCCTCTTAGCCATCGACTTGTTGTTTATAGTGCTTGTCACAATTTTCTCAATGATTGATTGATGTGATTATTTTGAAGCACTCGGTGTGATAATGCATTGCAATTATGGTACAGATTAACCTTGCGAGTCGCAATGATTCCACCAATAAGCTGTGGGGCTATTCAACAAGGCTTGTGTTAAGTTCGCTACCGCATGGGTGAGACAACCAATAATCTACACCTCATGTCGCTGACATTGTAGTATTTTCTCTCCGTTCTAAAACAAAACTTAATGTCCTGCCACATCATTCGGCTGCTTTAAAGTTACTTCGAATTCAACCACCAACTGGCGTTCAATGCAACATCCCCCTGCCGCTGATCGGCCATGGACCAGTGTGGGCCGTCGAATAGCTGTCAGCTGCAGATGGTACACACCAAATCAGAAGTGCCGCCTTCATCAGCACAACAATTGGAATTAAGACCGCGCTTTGATTCGTCGTTGTCATTCCCCACAAACGTTCTAATGGTTAGCTGCGATGTAACTTACTTAACAACTATCTGTTTCGGACACAGTCACATCGATGCTCGGTTGCGTTTTGATTGTAGTTATCGGAGCTTTGTTCCAAATCTAAATAAAGCAATTCAAGTCAAATTAAGCTTTTTATGCCCAGATGAGCACATTTTCACCATTCTCCAATAACAACTACGGATGAGCTGAAATGACCTCATCAGAAGTGCAAATTGGTATGAATGGGAAGCGGAACACTGTATACACTTGCTACCAGAATAAACGATCCGGTATCAGTGGGCAATAATTACACATTTATAGAAAGAACAATCCGTCGAGGGTCAGTTTTCTAACCAGGATGGCACGTTGCTACTTTGCCGAAACTTTTATTGACAAAGAACTGCGCGCAATGCGTAGCATCTTGAGGTTTACTCAAAAATCGACGAAAGCCAACAGTGGTGACTTTGACATTGTTATAACTAAAGACAGTGTAAAATTAATCCGAGGAATCTGATGTATCCGCGACAGATATTGTAAAAATGACGTCCCAGTGAAAAGGGAATGGCCAATTTCGAGACCTCGCTATCAAGGGGAGCAGGAATGGATTTATTTGCTTCGTTACCACCCGTCAGCGTAAGCATTACGTTTTCGACTGGTCGTAAATGTTGTTACAGTGATGCTTACTAATCGTCTTTGAATATTTTCGGCTCCGTTACTCAGAAATCTATTGAAGCTAGTTATGGAGGCCGTTTCTGTTCATCCTTCAATGAATTCCTGACCGAATTAGCCCCAGCGCATCCTCACTAGACGAACAAATGATGGATGGACTGAAACAGACTCGTGCTCTTCCAAATGCGTAGACACGTCGCCTTATTTTGTCTTCAGTGTTTTATCTTGCTTGTCCCTATCGCAGCTGGTGACTTTTTCGTGTACATTCCGACTTTTCCGCTGCGTTTTACAACCAATTGATCGCATACTCCCATCCGTTTGCCACTTTCCAGCACACTGCGAACTATTGACTGTTGTGTTACAGCGCTCAGAGCACACTGGAAGTCACTGTGGTTACATGGCGTGTCCAAAACTATTAACCGTCCCAATTTGGCCAACCTACCTCTGGTTTCTTGGTGAGAGTGCGTATCCCTGTGGTCATTTTTGCTTTGATGTACAGATTTCCCTAACAAAACGGATCTCTACCTTTGGCACCATAGGTAACCATCCCTAATTGCTGTTAATGATTCTGCATAACTTACTGCGGTTATTATGTGCGTGTTCTTTTAAATGTGTAATCAAACTCAGTTAGTCTCGGTACCTGCGTTATGCTTTGTCATCGATAACTCCGATTCTATTCGCCTTGGATTTGTCCTGTCCAGAGAGATCCTGAGTCTGATAGTGCAAGACCACAACCTCGTTCGTCGTCTGTCGTGCTTTTTACGCAAGCCTGGTAGCAGTCTTTACAAGGTGTGGATGGGCCAACGCTTGGTGCAGTCCGAAAACTGTTGATTGTTGGGACATGGACAAATGCAAATGCGTTGTTTGTGTACAGTTCGTTCTGGCACTTGCATTGAGCTTGCCAGCTTTATGCACACTTGTACTTTTTGTATACCCTCGTTTTGACCTCGGTATACAATTCCAAAATTTGGTGACATTCAGCGGCGTTGTCTAAGCTCTGTTTTGATTTAGATTAGCTTGCTGCTAATTTCGCCAGCCCTTGGCATTAAGGATCACAAGCCTACCTTGTAATCTGGGGTCGCGCGGATTCGAGTCTCCGTAGGGGATCGGACGACCCTCGCAGTATTCTTAGCCCACGCTCGACGTGGTGGTTTCGCGGTAGCGAATCGTCGGTACTGCGTACCGGCGTACTGCTGATGCCTGCGTGGTGCTAATTTCAACCAGCCTTATGATGTAAAACTGAGCGCAGCTTGACTCAGAGCGACTGTGCCGCAGTGCGCTGTGATGGTTTACGTATAATTCTAATCCACAGACGCATGCTTTTACCCTCGTGGACATTAGCCAGTGTTCAAACAAACTGTCTCTTAGTCCTTCAGGTTGGTGATTAGATCTGCGGTGGCACTCATTTCTGTGAGCGTGGCACATTTCAGCAGTCCTTTGCCAAGTTCCCGCTACCTTACTGCCAACCTTTTGAGTCAAAGGGTTTGTTTGGCAATCCTTATTTTGGACACCGCGGCAATTTCCCAGCTCAAGTATAATCATCATTAAGTCACTGGATTTCTGCTTCAAAACGGTCACTTTCCTTGCAGCACACTGGTAATGTTACAGAGCTCGCATTGTTTCCCCAAATTTGTGCAGTGCTCGTCTGAGCCCGCCTCTCTAGCACACTCAGCAACACTGTCACCACTTATCAACTCACATTGCACAAGTTCCAACTGAGCTCTCCTTACCGTCTCAAGCCGCATCGACGTCAAGTGATCTCTCCTCTAGACAGTGCCACTATATGTAAACTCTTATGCCGTACTAACGTTCATTTTCATTCCTGGTTTATATCTTATGCTACTGTTATAAATACAAATGTATAGAAGGCATGCTGACTTTGTAGACGAACTTTTGCTATCGGCCAATTCTTCTTTTCTGGGTGGAGTGCAGTCGTGCGGAGTTACGCATTTCTTCTTCGGTCTCATCACGTGTTTACACCTCTGGCGACTAATTCACTTATAGCATGTCGATCCGAATTAATTTGACTACTGTGCGCATGGGATACTATCAGCAAAACGCGTTCGTCTTTTCCGACTAGGTGTCGAAACCACCGGTAGAATAGGAGTAAACACGCCATCAACAATTCAGGAGTATGAAAAGCTTCCAGACTTAATTTGCTGCGTCCAACTTTCATGCTTTGAGGGAGCTAAATCAACATGCTGCGCTTACACATGCACAGTATACACTGACCGTTGACGTATGATACGTCTCCGAAACTAGATTCTATCATTCTCACCTAGTTTTCCCACTTGTTTCTTTGGTTCTGTCGCGCCCAAACTGGGCCTCAACGTAGTGCGACGGTTTGTCTACCTCTTCAACACTCTGAGCTACAGTAGGTGTGTTTGTTTCAGGTCCATCGAGAGCTATTCCTTCCAGACTGTACATTTGTTAAAGGTCACACCAACTGTCTCCTAATCCTCTCCAGCTTGGAGGTTAAAAATGAGAGTGCGTCCATCTGTAAAACCGGATCGGTGCTATCTCCCCGCTATCTGCGAACAGCTTTTTGGCCAGAGTTTTGTTGAGGGCCCTGGTCGTTCTCTTGGCTAACGTTGGACGTCCGGCTAGTATCTCAGCCTATGTTCAACCGTGACTATTTCTTAAAACTTCAATTGCGTCCACCGTCACGTGGCTTTACAACGGTCGCCTTATCTGCTGCGTACCGCAGAGTAGATAAGCCCAAACTTGCTACTGCTGGCACTTCTTTATTTTCTACCTATCTCTGTTACTCCCTCCCGCCCTCGTTGCTAACCTCCATTCCAAACTTTATTGACAGCAGGTGTAATACCCCTGGAGTTTTCCCGCTTGTGACTATGTCCCCACGTCATCTACTGGACTCCCATCGATAACACCTTGTAAGGTCACACTGTTTCTTTTCCCTTGGGCCGTTCAGCATTCGCCCTATAACACACATAGGTCAACAGTCTACACTCGCTGGCATGTTGGACCCCTGGGTATTGAGGTGTGGCGAATGTCCGAACCTAGATTCAATGGTCCTCACGTGGTTGTTGAACTAGCAACATCCGGCCTGTTCTCTCGCTATTGGTTACATGCATCCGGAGACGATGATGCTGCATTCACTGGTCAAGTTGAGCGCGCATCATTATCAACTCCAAGACTGAGTCATGGTTGGTGGTTTGAATTCCCGTAAACAGCTGTCTGTATGCAGTCCGTTTGACGACATCAACTAAGGTTGATTCACTAGACACTAGTTGTGAATAACATTTAGGCCGACTGCAGTCCTGCTAATGTCAAATACGCTGCTTCGCAGCGTCACTAGTTCAAACACCTTTGTTGCATGGAATATGAATGCGTAAGTAGATCGTCTGAACTCTTCAGAATCTCAGGTGGTAAATATGGTCATAATTCCGATTGGACGCAGAACGGCACTTGTCTGTTGCAGTTGTGCGCGGAGCACCGGCTGTTTCTTAATGGCACCTTTTTTAGACACAGTGGGCCCTGGATTGCCGCTTGGTGCCTCCTGTTTTGGTACGCCGTCGTTTTCGGTGAACTTTAACGGGTGGCATACCAAGTTATCCTAGCCCTCGGTCAAGCAAACCTACCAGAATTGTCTGCGTACCGGAATTTCGTCCCCTTGCCCTACTGACACCGATGTTCAGGGGAATAGAAGCCCGACAGCCATGCTTGATACGGGAGCTTCTGCCTGCGGCACCATCAATCGTCACCGCACCAGTCACTGGTTATCCGAAAGGTCTGTGTATCTTTTTGAATCCAAAGGAGAAGTTCAGGTTGAGTTTGAACACATTGTAGCTAGACGGACTATTAGGCGCGAACTGAAGGAGATCCTGCGTGCTGACAAGGAAGCCTGGTGGACCAGTCGGGCTCGAAAAATGGAGATGGCAGGAGCAGTTAACAATTTCCATAAGCTCTTTCAGCTGGTTCCAGTGAACCAAGCGTTAGTGAGACAATCAGAGACAATGCGGTGCCAAAACAGTGTTGAACTTCGTTTCATTTGTTTGGCGGAATGCTTTTGAGAACAGTTTAGTTGGCCCGCCACTCTCGGGACTCTTCCTACTCAGATGATGCGGGCTGAGCCACGAACTGTTATTGCGGGGGCTCCATCGGAGGCTGCGGTTGAAAACGCGATTAAAACCCATTACCGTCTTTGTTCTGCTTGTCCGGACTTTCTCACACACTCGCTATTTACGGATGGTGATGGGGTCCTCTCCAAACACTGACCCACGTGTTCGAATAAGTCTGGAAGGAGGAGGCTATCCCAGTCAACTGGAGTGAATCGATTATGGTGGCAATATACGAGAATGGCAGTCGCACTGACTGCTAACCACAAAGCTATTAGCTCAAGGGCTGTGGTGACAAAATCACCTCAGTTCTCCTTTGTCGCCTCTCTGCGGTGCGATAATCCCGGATGAGAAAAGAGTAGGCAGATTTCCGCTCAGGACTGGGCAGTATAGACCTTCTATACACTGTGGAATGCAATGGAACGGCGTCACAGTTCTTGGATTTCAAGACTACATTCAACTCTTGATTGATCCATCATCTTTGGCATACTTTCTCGGAAACGTGATCCCATGAAATATGTAGGCGTTTTTGCGTGCCATGTACTCGAACATCACAAGCCGCGGCAGCTTCTACGGTGAATTATCGGATATTTTTCTAACAACATGTGGCGTTAGTCATATTTTTTGATTTCCCAATTTCTGTTCAACTTCTTCATGGACTCCATCCTAGAGTGTTCCGTTGTGGAATCTCATGATGAATCCGTTGAGATGTTGCCTGGTAGAAAACTTGTTGCTCTAGTTTATGTAGACGATATTATTTTGTTGTTTAGCAATGTTAAGGTGGCCCAGTGAACCCTTATTAACTCTAGAGTTGTCCCATCATTTGCCATGCGCTTTGGAACTTCATCATGTTTCAGTACCACGAGCCACTCCATGATCTGTTGATCTTTGATAGTTAAGTCGTCGAGGTAGTTAATCAATCCACTTACCTTGGCTGTTTCATCAGCTGCGACGGGCGCGCAATGGCAGAACTTATTTCACGTATTGCATAAAATAGGACGGTTCTCTTGGATCTGTGGCGTCAGCACTGGTTTTCATCGGTTTAAAGTGCCGTACCTTCAAGGCGACACGGTCGTCCTACTATATGGTAGTGAGACTATCCACTCGATATGAGGATCCGAGACGCCTTTAGGCTTTCGCACGCCATTTGCTGTGGAACATTGTTCGTGTCGGATGGCACCAGCTTATCTGCAATGATGATGTGCTTGCGCGAGTACTATGCAGTGATAACCAGGCTAGTTTCTTGGAACAACAAAAAGCACTGAATAAGTCACGTTGGCATGGGCACGTCCTATCTGTGCCCGATCACCGCCTACCAAAGATATCCTTGTTTTGTTTGCCAGATGTAGGGTAACGCAAGGCTCGAGGTGGATGAA